CCTCGAAAGTAAAATTTCACATACTTTATGTTTCCTATTGCTGTTTTCAATTCCAATACACATGATGGAAGTCACAAATCCACTGCAACACATATGTTTACTAATAAATACTATCTAGATTCTAGAACTATGATAACAATAATGATACGTACTGTAATTCATAATGATACAATGAAGTAGCCCATTTTTGTGTGAAATTATTTTCATTGTCCTGTAATAAATTCAAACATGTACCGTATAGATTTTTTATTCTTAGTAAATTCTAAGAAATAAAATGTGATTTTCCATACCTTTAACGAGTTTACAGTATCTTGATACTGAAACCAATATGTACTGTACTGTAAATAGGCTCAAATCCAAAAACTATAAAAACTCGGGCTTGTATATACTGTATGCACAGACTTGGTGTTTCTCAGATAACAGCAATGTTGAGGTTTTTTTGTTGTGAAGATTAGGATTAGTTGTGTGTATATCATGTTACAACGTCTCAAACCTTGTTCCCCTGGTAACACCAAATTTGATCTTTGTAGCTGGCTCTCTCTCTGTTATTGCGGTGGAAATATAATCTGTATTTAACCAGAACAGTGTGTCCAGATAATTCTGATTATATTGAGCATATTTTGTTTGTACTCCGTCTGCCCTAGGAGACATCACTGCTTTCTGTAAACATACTTATGAACCTTGACTGTTCCAAGTAACTGCGTTGTATGACTTTTTAAAATCTTTAATAACATTGTAAGAGAGGGAATGAAACTGAAAATGATGGTAGAAGTACCATTTTGTCTAAATGATGTAGGATGTTTCATTGGCATCTCCAATCATTGTGCTACAATTTAGTCAGAAAGGAAAAAATATGCACATGAATGGGGGCATGTGTATACAGTATTACCTTTTAAAATTTCATCTACTAAAAAAGGAAGCTTTTGTATCTGTTATACCTACATCATGCACCCATCAAAGAAACAACTGTTTAAATAGCCATTAAGTGACACCAATGAAATGCTCAATGTCTGAATTCTTTTAGAGTGCATTTGAAGCAACAGTGGTTAATCGTGGTTAATGTGACATGGCTTATGTAATTTGTCAAAAAACAAAGTTAATTTGCAGTCAGTCCAATTTAACTGAATGGTCATTTTTGAAAAACAAATTGGTCAGTAACTTTTAAGTTGTGTTGTCTTGTAAAAATTTAATTGAAAATGTATGTTGATTAACCTGCTGTTGGTACCAGATGTACAGTAATTGTATTCCCAGTAACTCAAAATATGTACTTAAAATTTAAAATTGCAACTTTCTGCGGGCCTATTCACTTCCTGTCACTGAAGCTCATGGTTAACGCAGAAAGATAATAAGGGGTTAATGTTACGGTCCTCTCAAGTGTCAAGACATTTGCTCCTGCACAAGCAGCTGATAAGTCCTGGGTGGCGCCTGTGTGCCTGTTGCCATTTACAAGCTTTATATTTTTTTTTATTAGAACTTGCATGTCCTGCTGTTTAAGGCTTTTTTGATAAGTTGGGTCTACTGCCCCAGACTTGGTGTCCACTGTCCAGTAGCCTCTGTAAAAACTCCCAGACAGCTGCTTGCCCCGAGTGCTCAACAGCCCCTGCCTAATATTCACTTCCTTACAGTGCTCTATTTATAACCTACTGGTACTGCTGAAACTGTATATCTCTATAGAGTTATGTGCCTGCAAGTGTCCCTTGTTGGCCTCCAGCTGAGGTAGTCGTTGAGCACACCTCCTTGTTGTCTGCGGTGAAGTTGTTTCCGTTGTCACGCTCAACGTTGTCCCACTGTGGGCTTCCATGTGGACAAAGGCAGCGAGCGGCAGGTGTTTGGCCTTACATTCCGGAAGGTGCTGGCCAGAGCAGTGCCAGCGCTGGGACCGGACAGTGATCACTGCATCTTGGCAGCACGGATTCCTTTCCTCCCGCACGTAACGCTGGCAGCTCCGATGTTCACAATCTTTGTCTACGGTGTCGCTTTGGTTGCTTCTGTCTACCAGAAAGTGTCTGCAGGACAGGAAAGTCTCCGTCAGTGTGAGTGTCAGTAATGCAAGGTTTCACTTAAAAAAAAAAAATCAACTTATTGATTGTCATCTGAATGTCATTCAGAAAAAATGTCATTCTAAGCTTAATATGAAATAAGCTTATGTTTGCAGTTTTTGTGCACACCAGCCTGTAAGTGAGTGAAATGATTGAGCCACCTGGATGCCCTATGGACAGGAAATACTCATACTTAATACTTTCTGTAAATGCTAAAACTTTTTCCACAGACGTTTGGGATTTACATTTTAATTGCATTCAAAGGCCCTTTTTCCTGAGGGGGAAAGCAATAGGTATTGTCTTTTGACAATGCTAGTTGGAATAGTGTAAGAACAGGGGACCTACTCTGCTTTACTGTGTTGATTTATTCGCAAATGGCAATGTTTTCTATTTTGATACTTGTAGAATGCATTGTTTTCTGTGCACCAGGAAGCATTTACAGTAAATTCAATTTAAATGTCAGGGTTTCTATAATTGGCAACAGTGAATAGAAGTAAACCTAAAGAGAAACCTTTGTTGACATTATTTTTGCCGTGTCTGCTGTTTATCATTGTCACTCATCATAAACAGGAATGCTACAATGGAGATAGCTTACCCACAGTTCTCCTGGGCTCATTAGCCATGCATTGTGTTCTCTGTCCATAGGACAGAATGTATGAAAACTGAGACAAGAATTTTAACAAGGGCTGGGTAAACTTGATCTTTTTAGGCTTTAGGGATGTGGACTATGGCCAAAATCTTTTCATGGGTATAACAAGCTCAGTTAAAGTCTCAGTGCCAGCCAAGGTCACAGCTTTAGAGTCAGTAGCTTTACAAATTCAGCCACTGGTTATATCTATGAGTAACGTTCATCTTCTGATTAAGGGATAAGCTTTATTGTACAGTATATTTGAAATCTTCTTTATAGTGTCCCATTATATCACGTACATACTGTAGAAGGCAGTTTAAAATATAAACATGAAACCTGAAGATTTAGTAAAATGTCATATAATATACTGTTTAAATTCTGTTTTATTATATATCAGTATTTTATTGCAATTGCAGGTGTAAATAAAACAATGTTTTTGGAAACTACTGTAATTTTACCATTGAATCCAAATGTTATTTTCTCATGGCACAAAAGGAAAGCCTAAAACAGTCATTATTCTTAATGCTTATTTTATGCATACATTTCAAGTGGCTAGCTTACAGTATGTTACAGTATATATCCAGCAGTATATGTATCCAGTGCCACAATACTGTTTTTGCATTGCAAATTTGAAAGATTTGTTATGCATGAATGTGTTTTTATGGAGCCTTAGAGTTAGACACGTTACCTCCGTGAAACCCCTGCTTTTCTTTTCTTTGTTCCAGCCAGTGACATTCTGGATTCTGCAAAGGCACTCTCCCCCACTGAAAATGCAAATAAGAAAAGTTTTCTAATGTCCTAATCTCTTTCTGTAGCATTGTGTTTCTCAGTACATGCATGTATTTGCACATCTATATAGTAAATCCTTCCAAACTGTGCTTGCCTGTATACAGGAATGTCTGTTCTATTTGATGTCAGAAGATTTAATAGGGGGTTTAGTTCAGACCTTTTTGCTGATGGTAGTAAAAAAATACCAATTGATGACTGTGGAAGGGAAAACCTGATCCATGGAGCTGTTCTTCCCAGGCAATCTGTTCTCATTTCCAGTTAGGTGGAAATGAAGTGCTATATTGCTCTGGTTATAAGCAAAGAAAAATGTGTCACTCATCAGTAAGCACAACAATTTTTGGAGTGGTGCTGCGAAAGTCCTTTCAAAATTTATGAGATGTGTTATTCTCTCGGCTTATTTTAGGAATTTGCTGTATTTTTTATTTGTAATGTCTCAGTTTCATACCTCAATTGCCATTATATGGGTTTTATTAAAAAAACATGAATGATTTAAATTATAGATAACAAGAAAAAGTAAAATTATAATTTACAAGATAAAAGAAATTCAGCCTGATTCCAGTTACTTCTTTCTGCCAGAATTTTAAAGATTTTTACATGCAATGGTTCCTACACCGATAGCATGATGTGATTTATCAAGTACTTATCACGTGATTGGTATTGTCGGGACACAATAACCAGGCTTTTTAGAATCATCTTCCCTTCTGTGAGTGGGTATTTGTGTCCATACCCATGTATGAGGTAGAGGTAGCTGTACTGTATAGTGTATGTTGTGTATTGTAAAACTGCTGTATCAACAGCAGTGGAAGGCGAATTGTTCAGATGTGGAAGTTGAAAACAGCAGTGCTCAGACAGTAAAAGTGTCTGAGCATGAGACAGCACCTCAGATTTTTTGCTTGCATTTTCTAGTATTGCTACACTTGATTTATTGACTCTACATGTATTACAGTATTTATCCAGTCACATTTGTGTACATCTAGCACGTACTGTATGGCTTATCTGAAACTCTCTCACTGGCACATCTCAGCATGTAGACTGCACTGCTCAAGTGAATTGCTGCTTCCTTGGTTGCTGTTGTGACTGGTTGCTTGGAGTAGTAGAGCATTTCTATATTGTTGAACGTTTTTCATGCTTCTTGTAGTATACTCCCTAAACCCAGAATTTTTGTACCAGCTCAGCTCCTTATCCTAATCCTAACAATGTCGCACAAAGTACGCTGAAAATGACTCAGCAACTGTATAAGGCCTTACAAATATGGCTACCATGTGCTGTACTAGACCACTAGTCGAGATCTATTTTCAGGTCTCCCAAAGGAAAAAGGACAAATTACAAATTAAACAATCTTTACTACCTAAACAATGCGTCACCTCATTTCTTAAAATCAACAAACACCACCATGTCAGTTTGACTCTCTTGTCCTAGCACTTCTAAGGTAACTAAGGCGAATGCACAACTTTGTCTTGGTTTTTAGCAAATAATTATTTCTCTTCTTTGAGTCTGTTGAGATTGATGAGGTTCTTCTTCACTGTTGTCTACCGTATATCCAGGCCTGTGTACCTCCTGGTGCTGTCATCTATGCTTGCAGGGTTCCCTTGCCCGAAAAGGAAAGCATAGAATTAAAAGAAACAAAGACAATAATGAAATATAGAAAATAACACTTTTATTTGCACATATTTTCGAAGAAAACAAAATTAAATGTGAGTATATCATGAAAATGATTAACAACACAGGTGGTAAATAGCTCTTCTGACATCTTTAAACAAAATATGTCCAGGTGATAGTATTGTCCTCAGCTAAAATTCAGTTCCAGACATTGGGAATTCCTTCCCCTTTTACAAGTACCACACTTTATGTCCTCCAGTAATCTTTTTAGAAGATGTTTTCTTTTTTGGTGTAGATTGCTAGACATTTATGTTAATGAAGGTCTGGGCACAATGTTCTGACAGAATCTCTTATCAAGTAAGCTTTAAAGGTGAATAGATAAAAAAAACATGTCTCTTAAGGCACCAAGGGATTTCCTTTTGAAAAATACATGAGGTGTATTTTTGCTCACATGATGTGTAAAAGCTGCTCATGTGATCACCTACACTCAGCAAATTCAATAGGAAATGTTCTAACTTGGCAATTTATACATTTATTTCAAAGGTGAGAAAGGTTAATTAGCAAGTGTTGTGTGGTTCATGCTTATTGACTGGCAACACTTTTTGGATCAATGAATTCAAATGTTTTTTCAATGTATTTTATAATTTGAAGATTACAAGACTTGTGCTTGTTAGAGACTCATCTCTTAATATTGACATTATTTCATTGAAGAGCTGTATGGTAAGTAAGACATTATTTTAAGAACTTAAGAATCACTTAAAAAA